GTCAGTAAAGCAACTCTCCTACAGCCCTTATACTTTTTCCATATGGCTGTGCTGCACACCCAGCAGGAACGGGCACTGATGACTGTTGAGAGCCACAATGAATTCTCCCAAGGCAGAAACTTGAGGCACAACCACACTCTCCATCAACACTGGTTGCAGACCTTGAAGCTTATGGGTGCAGCCAGCCACATCTTATGGGTGCAGGTGGCTGCCATTGCCTTGGCAAAGAGGATGGATATCCTCACTTTCCAAAGAAAAATGCAGCATCCACCTCAGGGCTGCACTCTTAAGCTGTATCTGTTTCCAAATAATCACATTTCTACTGGTTTCATTGTGTCTAGAGCAGAAGGCAGGACTGCAACTTTTCGCTTTCTCATTTACTACAAAGGTGCCTGCAGATGGAAATATAGCCAAAAGCCCCCCAAGGGATATATGGGAAGTTTCAATTTACACTCCCAATCTCATTGTACTCCTTTATCCCACACTGGTTTCTAAAACGTTCCCTGAAGGGACTTGATAACACACCTGTACGGGCAATAAGAACCATCACCGATAAAAGCAAAAAGGTATTTCAACAAGAAAGAACAATTGTTGGTTGACTATTTAAAATTACCTCCACTGAGAACAGAAACCTGAAGCGGTAATTAGTTCATTATTAAAGCTTGTAATGAGAAGTCTGTAAGTATAAGGGAGACTAAAAATTAGTTTCCCAGCATAAAAAAAGAAATCAGTGTGTTGATATTCCCCATATTGCATGGTTCTGCTCTCAGAAAATATGAAGCAGATGAAACATTTGGCAGGGCTTTTTTTTCAGCACAGTTACTGAATTTCATGGAGTTAAATTTGTAAGGAAAGCTATGACACTGTGAAGTAACAGAATTTTTTTACAATGCAAAACTAGCAGCCTAAAAGCATATTGCCTTGAGCTCCCCGATGCATTTGGAAACAGCTTTCCAAATTGTTTCTGTTTTATTTTTAGAACAGATATTTAATTTACAATCTGCATACTATTTATTGGCACGCTTTAATAAGACTGCATTTAGAGAAAGTCACTGTATTTGACACCCTTGAATATTCATGCATTTCTGTCTCCATGGTCCACCACACATCATATTATCCCTTCCACTGCATTAATCCAGGGCCCCAAGCAGCCTTGTTATCGAAGCACACGGCTTCATAATCCCTCCCTACCCAGGGCAGAGATGGTGAACAACTCCCAGAAGAAGAGCAAGTCTTGTCTGCAGAGGGACCTGGTCAGGAAGGGCCAGCTATCTCACGTAAGTTCCTGCCCAGGCACTGGCATCTCTGCTTCCAAAAAAGCAAATAACATGCAAAAAAAAAAAAGCATGCAGCCAGACCCCTCCCAGACCAACCCCTCACCCTCGCCTGAGCCATTGCCAAACTAGAGAGAGCTCCAGCTGTCTTCAAGTCAAATATTCAGCCACTTGTCAGTAGGTCTCAGGTGTGGGGTCCAGCCTACTTCACAAGTTGGGATCTTGGTGCATGGCTGGGATGCTCTTCAACATTTTAACTGAAGCAACTCGCATAAGGTCCCATGCAACGTTAATGGCAGTGACAAATACTGAACTTGGGTGTAAAGCCTCCTGCTTCCTCTAAACCCTGCTCTTGCATCTCTCATTAGTTGTTGTTTTGGAAGAGAAATCTTCAGGTTCTTGGCCTTAACTTGGGAGACATGCTGACCTTATTGGCAATTCCAGCATCCCCTCCAATGCCTCAACACATCCTATGTGACCTGGAGAGAGCAGTGACCCCTCTGACTGGGCCCCAGTGTCAGCAGCCCCAACACCTCCAACTGCATCAGTATGAGAATGTCAGCCATGAGCAGGCAGAGCTGGGGTCTTGGCTGCCTTTTGGTCCAGCAGCAGCTGTGCACAGCTGCGATTTGGGGCCATCCCCACAGTTCTGGGGGAAATCCCCCATCTTCCTATTCCCAGTATCTTTTATTGATGGTGAAATCCAGGGACAAGTGGGGAGAGAGATCTAGAGGCAGGGGAGGGATTTTTGCTTTTAGCACACAGGAAAAAGCCCAAGTCTAACACAGATCCTTCACATTTTTAAAAGGAAAGCTGCTACAGGACTTCAAAGAGTAATTACCCAGATGAATTCAAACCAAAGGACCTCAGTGCTGTTCTCCCCTGCTGATCCACCTGTTGCCATTAGCCAAAGATACTCCCAAAGCAAAGCTCCATGCTAGACTGGGAACAGACAGGTGAGCTGCATGGAGAGAGAGTACAGCTTCAGATGCAGAGAGGAAGATGAATAGACTAAATCTTACCCAGCCTGGAGAGAAAGCCCCTTAAGCATCAGTAGCTGGCTGAGGAAACCCCACTGTTCTCTGTACAGGTTATAAATATATTTTTTTCTTTTTCCTCCCTACATTAAGGTAGAGTACAAATGCTTCTCTTCTAAGATACTGTCAAAGAAATGTAAGCACTAGTAAGATTTCTTTGCAGAGGCTTCCACAGACGGAAAGCATTTTCACCTACAAGCTGTTAGGGAAAAGCCAGGTTGGGCATGAAAATACATGTTCAGGAGCCATTCACCCACCCCTCACCACACTGCCCTGGTAAGTAAAACCTATGGTGAGCCCTGAGAATCAAGCTGGCTGCAACAGCTCATGCACTGAGAAAGTACTTGCAGTAACAAGTTTTTTGTGGTTGAGTTGTTGTTTTTTTTTCTTTCCAATAACTTACAGCTTCTCACCCACCCCCACACAACAGTACTTCATTGCTTAACAGGTCCAGATCTCCTCCTCTCTCTTAAAATAGTTTGTTCTTTCTTATTTCTCTCTGGCTGGGACATTTTTCTGAACTCTGTTTTGAAGGAGGGCAATAGGGAATTGTTTTATTGCATGGAAAAATGTGCTTGAGAAAGGCAGAACCAAGCTGTAAAACATGTATTTGGCAAAATCCCTCTCAGCTTGTACCAGCTTCTGCTTTCTGAATGGTTTGGTTCAAAAGCAATTTTGAGCAGATGCACAATCACAATACCTTAAAATGCTTAGATTTATTTAAGTATCTCTACAGGCAGAAACTGCCCAAATACCTTACTTCCTGCAAACTATCGTATTTGTAATGCATCACCAAAGATTTTGCAGGTATCATGGCATTCTACAAACACATCCTGGTGCCTGGGGTTTCCCTCTGAACAAGAGCTCAGTAGAGTGCCCAGGATTTGCTCTTGGATGAGATTCAATATAGAACAGCCGGCTAATTTCAATCTGTTGGCTGGTGGAAGTCTACAGTAGATCAGCATTTGCTGAACCTGTACTTCAGCAGAACTTCAGCACCACTCACATCCCTTCAAGCTCCTGCATCCCTCCAAGCTCTCGCATCCCTCCAAGCTTCTCGGCTCCAGCTCAAGCAGAACATGAGATCATCTGTTTTGCAGCCTGGGAAGGGGTGTTTGTAACACAAGGAGACTTGAACAGAAATAAGTACAGTGTACCTAGTGCTGCCAAGCCTGCTCACACACACGAGCGGGGCTGCTTTCTTGGAAGCAGCATTGCAATATGAAGACCTGCATGTTAAAGCCGCACAAATTGTTAGAGATTCTGCACACTGCTGAATCCAGAAGCTATACAAGCTGCATTTTAATTTGCCAAGAAGGGAGGCGAACAAGGAAGACAAAACCAGATCCTTTATGTCCTTTCAGGTAAACGGGCTGGACTGAGTCTGACTGGGCAGTACAAAGGACAGTGGTGGGAGAAGGCACATCGCTGTCTTGCAGGTGACGGCTGTACCTGGCCCCAACAGCCAGATTGGGAATAAGGACTAATGACGACTGCTGAGAGCAGAGAGTGGATTTGCCCTGCAAACCTCAAGTTTCCAGCTGGGAAAAGCGGGGGATCTCTCCACCCGCTGCACAAAAATAAAAATAAATACCACCACCACCTTCCGCATGCGAAGGCGTAGGATAGGAAGCGAGAAACTCCGCTGCTCACGATGCATCTGGTGGCGGTTCTGGCACTGCCACTGCACCCGCGATCGCTGCCGAGGATCACCCGGGGCTCCCTGCCCGCCTCGCGGCTTCACGCAGCGCCCCGGGGGGACCCCTGACGCGGGATACCCCCCCCCCACCCCACCCCTGGGGAGGGGGACGGGGACGACACCCGTTTGTGTGAGTGTGCGTGTGTCCCCTCCCCGCCGTCGGGCAGGCAAACCCGGCTCGGCCACGGGCTGATGCCCCCTCTCCCGGTGGTGGGGCGGGGATAAGGGCAGGAGGGTGCAGCCGCGGGAGACAGGTCCCCACCGAGGTGAACGCAGCGCGCCCTGAGGGGGGAGCGGAATGGACGAGCGCTGCAGCGCTTCTCCCCGCACACACACTCATCCGACACGGTTCTCTAACCCTCCGGCTCTGCTCACCCCCTGGTGCCAACGAGCGCCGCCGGAGCCCGGCCAGCAGAGCGGCCCCCGCAGCCCCCAGCCCCTGCCGCCTCCCCGGCTGCGGGGACCGCGTACCCCGGGGGACCGGAGGAGCCCGGAGTTGCCCAGCACATCGCCGGCTCGACCAAGTACCGCCGGGGAAAGCCCTTCCGGCTTTCCCGGTCCCCCGGCCCGGGCCGGAGCGGCGCTGCCCGCACCTTGCCCTCACACACGCAGAAATTTCACACGCGCAGCCGTCCCGCTGCCTTGCGCCCGCAGCTCCGCCGAGCCATATTTCCCTCTAACGCAAACCCGTCTCAATCACCGCCTTTGCTTTTTTTCCTTTCCTCCCCTTTCCCTTCGCTCGCCTCCTTTCCCTTCACGGATCGCTCCTCGCAAATGGGGCGATAAATCCAGAAAGTGCCATGCACCGCGAGGGAGACGGGGAAGGATGCTGAAACGGAGAGGGTGGCTGCAAGGGAAACAAGACACTCCGGAGGGGTGGTAAAGAAGCACCCTGACGGGCATGAACGGAGTTCACAGCGGCGGGCAGAGCCTCGCGGCACAGGCTCAGCGCTCCGCCACCCGCCCGGCCCAGCGCCTTCGCAACCCTACCTGGAAGAGCCGGAGGATGTTGGCCACCATAATGGAGACTGAACTTCCCGACGCCCCGATCACTCCTACTACTTTCTCTGGCTTGACGAACACGGGCGGCTCGCCGTTGGTGCACCTCACGTCGGAGGTGTCCTTCTGGATGAGAGCCTGAACGAAGGTGAGGGACTGCTCCAGCGCGTAGGTGTCTCGGGAGCAGGTGTCCAGGATGCGAGCGCCCAGCGTGACATTGGGCAGCAAGTCCGGGTCGCTGTTGATCTGGTCCAGGGCGTAGAGCATCGCCTCCAGCCTGTGGATGCCGTTTTCCTTCTTGATGTCCCCGCAGGGCACGCCCGGGGGGCCCTTAGCGTGCACGGGGAAGAGGCCGCCCAGGGTGATGTCCCCCTCCAGGCGGATGGAGTGGGGCGCGTACATCTCCTGCCCCTGGGCCACCGCCGAGAGCAGCAACTCCAGCAGGCAGCAGGGCAACTTCAGCAGAGTCAGGAGCCGCAGGAGTCTGCCCAGGCGGACCATGGTGCCGGTGCCGGTGCCGCCTCCCAGGCGCTGCCCCGCGCTCCCGCCCGAGCTCCCCCGTGCCTTCATGCGGCCCGGAGGGGCCGGGGCAGCGGGGCGGGATCGCCGGGGGACGGTGGGGGGAGGATGGTGGGGGGAGTCGGCGGCTCCCGCCCGCCCTGGCCGCGGCTGCCTCCGCCGCGCTCCGCGGCAGCACGGCACTGGGGAACCGCGCCGCGCCGCTACCGCTTTAAATGGTGGCTGGGGCTCTCCGCCTCCCGCCCCCTCCGCCGCCCCGCCCGCCGCTGCCGCTGCGCAGGATGCGGCCGCGTCGCCGGATCCCGGGCCGGGATGAAGATGATGGAGCTGGGTGCCGGCTCCGGCACCTCCACCAGCCCTGCCAGGGGCCGGGGGGCTACAGGTGGCTCGGGGTGGTGGACCCCAGGGCAGCCCCGTTCCCAGAGGCTGGAGCCGGGCGCAGAGGCAGTGGCTGGCTATCGCCGCTGGGAGCCGGGCAAGTGGTCCCCGGCTGGGAAGCTCCCGCGAAAGGAGCCTGCTTATAGGGGGGGCGTCCGATCAGCCCCACTGGAGCATCCTCGTCCTCATCCTCCCCCACCTGCTCCTTATCCTTCTCCTCCTGGAGGGAAGCGGAGCGGAGCCGGCGCCGCGGGCGCCCCTAGCTAGCACGGACCGGGACCGGCGGGACGGGCGGGGGATCGCTGCCCAAGTGCGGGAGCGTTCTGGACAGGCTATGGCATCGAAAGCGGTAATCCGGTTTTGACATAGAAAAGAGATCCTCCTCCCCCCTGAGGTGAGTAGCAGTGGAGTCAGTGAGAAGGAGGAGGAGTTTGGATGTAACCCCATACTCCCAAACCCGAAATAATGCAGGTGATAGATTGTTCTATTTTAACATCTCCAGACCCGTGTTTGATTTAGCACAACCGTATCTTGAGCATGCTATAACATAGAATCATGGAATCACAGACGGGTTTGGGTTGGAAGGGACCTTATCCCCTGCCATTGGCAGGGACACCTTCTGCTAGATCAAAACCCCATCCAACCTCACCTTGAACACTGCCAGGGACTGGGCAGCCACAGCTTCTCTGGGCACCCTGTGCCAGCGTCTCACCACCCTCACAGCAAGCAACTTTTTTCTAATTCCTAATCTAAATCTACCCACTTTCAGTCTAAACACTCTGGATTTGTTCCCTTCATCCCAAGACTGTAATATCCAAAGAGACACCTAGGCCAGCTACTGCTCTGAAGTTACTCATGGAGGGACAGCTACAGTGATTGCTTAATTTCCAACTCATTATACCTGTGAAGTCAGAGTAACATGATGTCACTGTTGTCACAATAAAAAACATCAGTAAAACCTGATGGTTTTAATCTGTTTTGGTGTGGCCAAATCTTATCTCACAACACTGAAATAAATGCTGCAGTGCGACCAGTCTGGCAGACATGTGTGGCTATGCTGGCCAGGTCTTGACTGAGGTGGAGCTGGCTAGGGGTTGGTGATACATCTTGTAATAATTATTAAGGCATTTTAACACCTTAAAATTGTGTCCTTACCATATTTTCCAGCTTTTTCTTCTTTCCCTCATATATCTGTTCTTTGTGTCCACTTGTATTTGTCAGAAGCCACTATAACAAAGGTTTCCAAGGTGGTTTTATTCAAACACCACCATGACCAAAGAAGACATACAAATGTTCCTTACGGAAGGGGACTTTTGGAGAGGAGCAACAGACCTGAACAGCTGTAGTAAGCTGGAGGATTTTACAGTAGGGCCAGGGTATAACATGCAAAAACACAATAAAAGCCACTGGTGTTCTCCACTAGAAATTATAATTTTGGGGCTTGGGACCAAAATTTAGTTTTTCCATGGACTGAAAGCACCATAAGAGATTATTTCATTGTAATTTGGTATCATGACCCAGCCCGTGCTATCACTCGGGCACAATTGTTTACCATTTCTGTTCATCACTGGATGAAGGCACAGTCATGCTTGTAGGACAAACCCACACTTGTTTCCACTCATCACCATCCTGCAAGGGGACAGTTCATGCACAGAAAAGGGCATATGTGGACTTGGGGTGGTCATGTCATGTGGTCCCCCAGCCCAAGAGCCAGGCATCCAGACCTCTTCTAATCAAGCTGCAGGTTCCCCAGTGCCCATGCGCCATCCCTCAACGGATATGCACACCCTAACTCTTTACTCATCTGCTGTGCAGTGTGATTTACTTCTCAGCTACTCTTTGGTAACATCAGCTCCATCCCCCTTTTACATCCAATGCACGCAGTTAGAGTGTAAGCTCTTCAGCATTTATTTACCACTTGCCCACTTAAAGCTCCTCTTTGAGCCGCTTAGCTGTATTTATTAGCATTAAAAGCTCTGACTCTAGTGGCTGTAGAGAAGAGTTTGCAAGCATGTCTCAAGTTTGCCTTAAGAGCTCAAGATTTGGAAAGGATGTAAATTTGAATCATCTTTTCTAATAAATCTCATTTTTTGCAGGAAGCTACCTCATGATTTCAAAAGCTTCCTGCCTTTTTTGTTGTTTTGTTGGGCTTTTTTTACCTGTGGGACAATCTACCATTATATTCAACACGTTTATCCTCTCAACATTACAGAAACCCCATCTGCTGTCTACTTCATCCTTCTTTTCCTCACACCCTAGTTTGCCTAAATAACTAGTCTGCATATTCCACACCAGATTCCCTAAGGAAGCATAGAAAATGGCACAGTTTATCAAGGCGGGCCCAGGGTCCATCCTAGCCCAATATCTTGTCTTGGAGTAGCAGCAGACATGTTAGAAGAAAAGGCAGCAGCTCTGCAGTATGCAGATGTCTTTAATCTGTTCCTACCTTAAGTCTCATCCTCGTCTCTCATATATAGAAATTGGTTTAAGCCTTGAAGCATGAAAAATTAATCTAATTACATTACAAAAATTGATATAGTTAATCATTACTCTGGATATTCTTGATAGCCATAAAAGTGTCCAGTCCTTCTTACACTCATGCTATGCACTTGGCTTCAGTGGCCTCCATTGGTAATGAGCACCACTGTTTAATTGGACATTGCCTGAGAAAACCTGTTTATTCATTTTCAATTTCCTGCTTTTTAAGTTTAACTCTCAAAATAGCCAGAAATCTCCCTTTCATCGTACCTGATCTCCATCCACTATGTGCAGTCAGCTACCTACATTCAATCTGGCTCTCTCAGACAAGAAACTAAATATAAGAGCCTGTGCATCTGTCATTGACATATTTTACTTCGAAGAAGCATTTCATTTCAGTTTGGATTACTGAATACCTGGAGGTGAGACAACGCTGACTAAATACCACTGTGAGCGTATCACACCTGCACCGTGTTACAGCCCGTGTCCCACTGAGTCTAAAAAAATCCTCTCCTCCCTTATGGCCCGCCAGAACAGCTACACTAAGTGGATTCAACAAGCAGTTCCTAAGCAAAAATTAGATCATGTCCACTCACAACTAAACTCACCCACTCTTAAAGCCATCAGTGAGAATTTTGAGTTACGACATACTAAGTCATGTTACAGTTTTTCACCATAATCTGAAATGCTCCCAGAAAGCAATTTTATTATGGGAAAATAGTATTTTATGTATTTACTGGGAATCTTGACAGAAGCATTTGGAAATGGTGGGAAAGACATTCCAACGTGACGTTTTGTATTTCACTTCACAGTTAGTCATTCCTGCACCAAATCAAATTCCCAGTGCAAGTCACTCACTACATTCCCAGAGCCAGTGAGCACTCTCTGTAGTGGTGCTGGTTCCACCACACAGGCTGTAACCTTCTGCCATAAGAATGAAGTTATTCTGTTTCTCTCCCAGGGAACAACATCCAGGGAAGATTGGCATTGGGTTTTAATGCACATGAGCACTATTCCCGCCCCTGGTAGGACCAGGCACCCAGAAGCCAGACTCCCATCCATGCCTGGGAATGCTTCCACTGCCTGCCTGCTTTGTGAGGCCGGAGACATGCTCCATCTCCCCCAGTGAAGGTTTGCTTCACAAAAAAAACACACACAAAACAAAACAAAATTTTGTCATTTAAAAAAAAAAAAAAAACCAGAAAAAAAAAAACAAACCCAAACCAAACCCCAAGCCTGGTCTTTTTAGCAGGAGAATTTGTTTACAAATAAACAGTGGTTAAACACATCTAAAAGCATACTCAAAACCATTTCTTAACTCATCTGTCAAATAAGATCCCAGATTCAGCCAAATTGCTATTGGATAAGCAAAGACTTTGCCAGAAAGAAATCAGCATCATAGCTGGCATCCTTTAGGGGAGCTATGCAGTTTCCATCACAGGAGGATCTTACCCACATCTACTTTCAAAGATGCTGTGTAATTAAACATTGCTTTTATGTGGGCAGCTGGCAGAGCGAAGAGAAAATTGTTATAACCAACCAGGAGAAGCAAAACAAAGAGCAATGGACTAGCAGAAAGGAGAAATAAAACAATATTTCAAATTTCAGTAATGTAGCATGAAGCTGCTGTGCCCAGTTGGAGGTCATTTTGAACAACTATAATAGACATGGTACAAGCAATTAATTTCTTGGGTGAAGTCAGGGTTGGGACAGCAGCCAGAGCTCCTGCTTATCAGGAGTTCAGAAATAATGAATTTTTGGAGCAGAGGCCAGTGAAAAACCCTGATCCTTAACTTAGTGGTTTGCTGTTGCTCTTTACAAAGAGAAGGTGTCAGTGTGGCTCTAGTTTCTGGGGAGGACAGGAGACAGCAAATTCTCTTCAAGGATAGAGTAGTTTGGATCTCTTGCTAGATCTTACCTAAGAGAAATTTTATTTCTGTATTAGTATCTATTATAGACTATTGAATTATAGATTATTAAAATAGAAATGCTAAGTAAATTATTACTTATAATGCTGTTATGTAATTAAATCTAAAATACATGTTACAGATTGTTCCCAAGCCTATGAAGAAAAAATTTGTGTTAAACCACAATGTATCTGGGCCTAATTCTCTGCTGCAGCATGCTAGTGTGAGCCCATATAAAAGCATATCAGTGCAGCTCTGGGA